AGAGAGAGAGGAGAAAGTGGGGTAAAGAGAGAGAGAGAGGAGAGAGGGGGGGTAGAGAGAGATGGAAAGAGCAGGAGAGAGAGGGGGGGAGGGAGAGAGACAGGGGGGAGAGCAGAGAAAGACGTTGTTGCTGATGGTGTTGTAGTTGTTATTATTGATGTTGCTGTTGATGCTGTATTGTTGTTGATAATGTTGTTGTTGTGGTTGTTGTTGTTTCTGTGGCTGTTGATGTTTATAATGATGTTGTTATTGATGTTGTTGTTTATAATGATGTTGTTTTTTATATTGTTGTAGTTGTTGATGATGTTGTTGTTGTTGATATTGATGTTGTTGTTGTTGATATTAATGTTGTTGTTGTTGTTGATATTGTTTTTGGATGATGTTATTGTTGTTGTTATTGATGTTGTTGATGATGATGTTGCTGTTGGTGGTGATGATATTGCTGTTGTTATTGATGTGGATGTTGTTGTTGTTGTTGATGTTAATAATGATGGTGTTATTGATATTGTTGTAGTTGTTGATGATGTTGTTGTTGTTGTTGATGTTGTTGTTAATGATGATGTTGTTGTTAATGTTAATGATGTTGTTGTTCTTGATGTTAATGATGTTGTTGTTGTTGTTCATGTTGTTGATGTTGTTGTTGATGTTAATGATGTTGTTGTTGTTGTTGATGTTGTTGTTGATGATGTTAACGATGTTGTTGTTGGTGTTAATGATGTTGTTGTTGTTGGTGTTAATGATGTTGTTGTTGGTGTTAACGATGTTGTTGTTGGTGTTAATGATATTGTTGTTGATGTTGTTGTTGTTGATGTTAACGATGTTGTTGTTGTTGTTGGTGTTAATGATGTTGTTGTTGTTGATGTTAACGATGTTGTTGTTGTTGTTGGTGTTAATGATGTTGTTGTTGATGTTAACGATGTTGTTGTTGGTGTTAATGTTGTTGGTGTTAATGATGTTGTTGATGTTAACGATGTTATTGTTGTAGTTGGTGTTAATGATGTTGTTGTTGTTGATGTTAACGATGTTGTTGATGTTAACGATGTTGTTGTTGTTGTTGGTGTTAATGATGTTGGTGATGTTAACGATGTTATTGATGTTGTTGATGTTAATGATGTTGTTGTTGGTGGTGGTGTTAATGATGTTGTTGTTGTTGATGTTAACGATGTTGTTGGTGGTGTTAATGATGTTGTTGTTGTTGGTGTTATTGATGTTGTTGTTGTTGTTGTTGGTGTTAATGATGTTGTTGTTGATGTTGTTGTTAATTATGTTGTTGTTTATGTTAACGGTGTTGTTGTTGTTGTTGGTGTTAATGATGTTGTTGTTGTTAACGATGTTGTTGTTGTTGGTGTTAATGACGTTGTTGTTGATGTTGTTGTTAACGATGTTGTTGTTGGTGTAAATGATGTTGTTGTTTATGTTAACGATGTTGTTGTTGTTGTTGGTGTTAATGATGTTGTTGTTGTTGATGTTAACTATGTTGTTGTTCATGTTGTTGATGTTGTTGTTGTTGTTGATGTTAACGATGTTGTTGTTGGTGTTAACGATGTTGTTGTTGGTGTTAATGACGTTGTTGTTGTTGGTGATGTTAATGATGTTGTTGTTGATGTTGGTGTTGTTGATGTTAACGATGTTGTTGGTGGTGTTAACGTTGTTGTTGTTGTTGATGTTAATGATGTTGTTGTTGATGTTGTTGTTGTTGATATTAACGATGTTGTTAATGTTGTTGTTGGTGTTAACGATGTTGTTGTTGTTGGTGGTGGTGTTAATGATGTTGTTGTTGTTGTTGGTGTTAATGATGTTGTTGTTGACGTTGTTGTTGTTGATGTTAACGATGTTGTTGTTGTTGGTGTTAACTATGTTGTTGTTGGTGTTAATGATGTTGTTGTTGCTGATGTTAACGATGTTGTTGTTGGTGTTAATGATGTTGTTGTTGTTGGTGTTAATGATGCTGTTGTTGTTGTTGGTGTTAATGATGTTGTTGTTGATGTTGTTGTTAATGATGTTGTTGTTGATGTTAATGATGTTGTTGTTGTTGTTGGTGTTAATGATGTTGTTGTTGTTAACGATGTTGTTGTTGTTGGTGTTAATGATGTTGTTGTTGATGTTATTGTTGTTGTTAATGATGTTGTTGTTGATGTTGTTGTTGTTGATGTTAACGATGTTGTTGATGTTGTTGTTGTTGATGTTAACAATGTTGTTGTTGTTGATGTTAACGATGTTGTTGTTGGTGTTAATGATGTTGTTGTTGATGTTAACGTTGTTGTTGTTGTTGATGTTAATGATGTTGTTGTTGATGTTAACGGTGTTGTTGTTGTTGTTGATGTTGTTGTTGTTGATGTTAACGATGTTGTTGTTGGTGTTAATGATGTTGTTGTTGATGTTAACGATGTTGTTGTTGTTGATGTTAATGATGATGTTGTTGTTGCCTACCCCGCAGGTCTCCCGGCGTGGGCATCGTGGGAGGGGAGAGCGAGCTGAGTCAAGACGGTGAGTGGGTGGCTGGTGGGTGCTTCGCTGTGGTGTGCTCCTTCTGTCCTGTCAACGTCTCTCTTCCTTATCTTTCCTCCTTATCTCTCCTCCTTATCTCTCCTCCTTATCTCTCCTCCTTATCTCTCCTCCTTGTCTCTCCTCCTTATCTCTCCTCCTTATCTTTCCTCCTTATCTCTCCCCCTTATCTCTCCTCCTTATCTCTCCTCCTTCTGTCCTGTCAAACATCTCTCTTCCTTATCTCTCCTCCTTCTGTCCTATCAAACATCTCTCTTCCTTATCTCTCCTCCTTCTTTCCTATCAAACATCTGTTCATCCTGATCTCTCCTTCTTCTTCTTCTGGCTGGCCCCCGTTAGGAGGGCGGCAGTAAGCGGCAACCTCTTGTGGCCTCGTCCAGAGTACATCCGGGCCCGGTCTCGCATTATTCTCCATAAGTGGGCCTCGATGTTCTTCCCCC